ACCTTGAAAAAAACGTGAGGATCTTTTAAACAATCTTGATATTTTTTAAAGCATCTCGAGATGCTTTGGAAAAATCTCAAGATACCTTGAAAACATTTGGAAAGATCTTGAGACCTTTGTTTTCATCTCAAGATTTTCTGAAAGATCTGGAGATTGTCGTGAAAAATCTCAAGATTGTCTTATAAGATCTCAAGATTTCGTCTAAAATATTGAGATCTTTAGAATTAATCTTGAGATTTTTCAATTTTTAACGAAGCGTGAAGACCCCCACTGGGGGTCATTATAATCCGCTATGTAACAGAGAAGTTTGTGACAAAAGATTGGATATGTACCTCTAAGCTGTAAATAGTCAGAGGCATTAGTCCAAAGTGCTCTGCTCATTCCAATAATAATCTGCTCGGTGTTTATAGCACTTCCTCATAAATTATGCAAATGAGGTCATGATTTGAATAAATTTTGTTTATTAATGTTCGCCTCCACTTTCAAATGTGGCAAGTATGGAATTACCAGCAGTTACAACTATGAAATTATAAAAAATTCTCATTAATTATGCAAATTAGGTAATCATTTAAAAAATCTATATCCTCAGTATTTTTTTTTTCTCAATTACATGTCACAAGTGTTTCATTGTCCTATTATCGAAAAAAGCAGATTTATAGAATTTCCTCATTATTTATGCAAATTAGATCCTGATCTGCACAATTGTCATTTGGTTATGTCAAGCATCACTTTAGCTACCTACATACCAAAAAATCACGACAAGCCGTCAACCGATTCTTGAGTTATACTCCTTCGAAAATTTTTAAAAAATGGTCTTGCAGTTCCAGAACAAGCCGCTAGGGGGCCCAAACTCATGTGAATTCTTCCCTACCCCAAGAGCTCACTCACTCACTCAGTCCCCTCCGAGCCTGGTGGCGCATGGGGCTCCAAGTAGCTTCTCCATCTAGCCACCTTCACCGCTTCGTCCATCGAGAACCCGTGTCTTCTCACCTCCTTTTCTACCGTTCTTCTCCATGTCACCCTAGGACGACCTCTCTCTCTTCTGCCCTGCGGCGTCCACCTCAATGCTACTCTTGTCATATCAGTTGCTGCTTTGCGAAGAACATGGGAACGACCAAACTTCGTGACCCTAGCATGTCTAGATCGCGAGATATCAAAACCGGAAGTTCTGCTGCAGTACCAACAAAAGCCGCCAGGGGGCCCAGAATCTAATCATTTCTAGGTCTCATTAAGACCTACCCACCTACCAAGTTTCATGACAATGCATATTAAGCTTCTTGAGTTATGCTGTTCACAGACAGACAAACAGACAAACGGACAGACGGACAAATGCTACCTGAAAACATTAACCTTCGAGGCGAAGGTAATTAACTTTTCAGCAGTCTTTGTGAACATTATGCATATATCTGCATGCATACTTTCCGCCGGTTTGGAATCTCAGATCTCTTGTTTTTTTTTTCTCTACCCAGCACCGTGCAGCGAAGATTACGACCCTCCCCTGAACGGTGGCGAAGCCTGTTCAGTGACAGATGACGCGACAGGAGCCATGTTCTGTACTGTCTACTGTCCGGACAACAAGGAGTTTGCTATACCACCTGCACAAGTGTACACATGCCGGGCTGATGGAAGTTGGTTCGCTGACTCTCATCCTGTGGTTGGTCAGAATAGTCCCTGGCCAGACTGCACAGGTATGGTTTTACTGGGATGATTGATTAAGGGTTAATTTTTTTATTTTTTATTTATTTAATCTTCAGACAGCTGGGTGGCCCATTCAATTTTGTCAAATTGATTTTCAATGGGGCCCAGCACAGATACAGTAAAATCATCAATATAACAGAGGAAATAACTTAACCCTAAACAGTACACCTGGGGTCCGCGCGGACCTCAGCACTATATATTCTGTAATATCTTTTTTGTTTCTAAAGATTTTTTTCTGAAATTTTAGGTAATTGTCACCCACAAAGTTGTCTCTCAACACAGTGCAGAAAACTCCGTTTCTACCATTTATAAAAAAATTAATATCTGATTTTCTTTTGGGGTCCGCGCGCGCGCGGACCCCAGCCGGCTTTCGATCATAATGGATACACTGGCGTTCTTATACATAACCTTATTTCTGTTTTTATATGTTTTTATGCACTCACCGTATGTCTACCAAGTTTTCAGAGAATGGTGTAGTAATAGAAATAAATTTTAATAACTTTGGTGTAATTACGACGTCATATGACGTCAGAGCTAATAATATAGTCCGCCATATTGGATTTTGACCAATGACGTCATCAAATTAGCATATTCTATGCATATTAAAGGATTTAACTCATATTTAATCATGTAAGATGTTATTAATGTTGGAAAAGAAGTGTGATTTAAAATAAAACTCAGAAAATTTTTATGTTTAAACCAAAATTACTTCTATTTTTAAAAAAACTGCCTGCTAGAAACCCGTTGCCATGGCAACACAAAAAATATCAACTTACTAGTATTAAACTAATATGAACTTTTTTCCAGAGACATTTTAGGAAATGTCTCCAAATTTGATACTTCTAGCGCAAGTCGTTTAGCCGCTATCTGAGATCAAAGTTGGGCCTCAAAAGCCCCTTCAGTCTGAAATGGGTTTAAAAATCGGGTATTTCTTCTTGTCTTCTTTTCTTCACCAAAAAATAGAAAAAGTTCAAAATGCATGATTTTTGTATGTAATATGGACACAGAGGTTCCCACATCAGTTTGCAAAACACTTGAGCTGGTAGCATGTTGATAATTTCTAAAAATTAGCAAAAAAACTGTTCTGGGGTCCGCGCGGACCCCAGGTGTACAGATTAATCAGTCCGGGAAGGTGTACTGTTGAGGGTTAAATAAAAATTAACATAAATAAAAAATAGGGTTGTTACTCATAAGACCCGCCTGTCTCTCAGTGTACACTGTCCCTCAGCGTGTACTGATGCCTGATCATTTCCTAAAACCACCTATTTAACCTCCAAGTGAGCGCAGCGAAGGGGTCAGTTTTTGAGGTGGCGTCAAGAAATGACCAAACATGTCAAATACTTACGACGATACTAAAACATGACTTTTGACCCTATTTCATTTTACTTTTTTTTTTTTCATTGAGGAATTTTATTTTATTTTGACGGGACTTATCCTTCCATAGTATAACTTTTTTTGTTTTGTTTGATATATTTACCTTCGCCAAGAAGGTTATGTTTTCAGGGGCGTTCGTGTATGTGTGTGTGTGTCTGTCTGTCTGTCTGTCTGTCTGTCTGTCTGTCAACACGATAACTTGAGAAGGCCTTGATGGATTGTCTTGATACTTGGTAGGTGGGTAGGTCTTGATGAGACCTCAAAATGATTAGATTTTGGACCCCCTAGCGGCTTGTTATGGTACTGCAGCTGAACTTCCGGTTTTGATATCTCATGATCTAGACATGCTATGGTGATGAAATTTGGATGGTAGGTAGCTCTTGTGCTGGGGAAGAAGTGACGTGAGTTGGGGCCCCCTAGCGGCTTGCTCTGGAACTGCAGGGATATATTCTTGAAAATATTCAAAAGGGGATAACTCAAGAACCGGTTGACGGATCGTCGTGATTTTTGGTATGTAGGTAGCTTACGTGATGCTTAATATAATTATGTGACAATTATGCAGATATGGATTTAATTTGCATAATTTATGGGGAAATTCTATAAATCAGCTGCATTCCATGATAGGACAATTGAAGCTTGTGACATTGGACATTGACAACGAGAGAAACACAGGAAGATATTGATTATGTTAATAATGACTTAATTTGCATATTTAATGAGAAAATTTTATAATTATGTAATGATATTATTATTGATAACTGCCTGGAATTTCATACTTGTGGTATTTGAAAGTTAAGTTGAGGTGAACATCATTAAACATAATTTATTCAAATCAGGACCTCATTTGCATAATTTTTTAGGAAATGCTAGAATGCATTGTTTGTTAATATAAGACTGTCTTTTGGTTGAGATTATGATAAAATGATATAATTCATTAAAATTAGGGTCCTATTTCTTAAATCAGGGGGGAATAATCTAATCTATAATTTGTCATCAGTCATAAAGATTAACATCATTTGGCGAAGGTATGAGATCGGGGAACTCTAGTTCACTCTATACCAAAGGTAAAGTTGCGTTACTTAAAAGCACCACATGGAGGTTTCTAGAACACTTTTACTGAAAAGCACCATATGGGGTTTTGAGCACTACATGGCGGTTTTGAGAAGAGTTAGCTTCTGAAAACAACTTTATATTTTCAATGAAAAGAACTTTGGGGTTTCGTGAACAATTGTTACAAAGGTTGATATGGAACAGTCCATTTGTTGGCATTGGGTAGATGGAGTGAAATATATTGTACAGTATTTGCTCGCTAGCAAATATGGGCATTTCTCGTTGCCTTCGCCAGAAGGGTATGGTTTCGGTTTGGCCATTGTGAAGTGGCTGTGGCTGTCATCTTAACAGTATAGCAACAAAACGAAGGTCAAAATAGATAATGGTTAAAAGATAAAGAAGGAATACATGAGAACAACTACATTGTTTTAAACTATTTTGTAGTATATTGATTGTGCAGTCAAACATCGATTCCACAAACTGTAATATAGTGGATATGAATAACCGAATTTGGGCTTAAACCTCCATTACACTTGGCAATGATTTAAGCAAGACAACCTATTTCAAACAAGAATTCTAAGACTTCATACCTCCATGAAATATATAGAGTTTATGTAATTTCAAGGGATTATTCTCATTCAAATATAGTATCACAATTACCATAATCTAGTATAGTTAAATTTATGGTTTTCTAATTTACTAAAATTATAATATTTTGCTTGTGAAATTCCTATCTTTTGGCAATATTTCAAGTAACATGTCTTCATTAATTATGCAAATGACCTCTATATTAACATAATATATGCATATTAATGTTAACCTTTAAGTAGCTTACACATGTCACAAGGTATAAAATTCCCATCATTCACCATCATGGTGGTGGGCATGGTGACCTTGAAAAGGTGCACTTAGGTGCACCTGTTCCACCATGCCCTCCATGTATATTATGTATGTGGTTAATCGTAATAAATAAATCAAGAAATCACAGAATTTTCAAATTAATTATGCAAATTAGGTCATTATTTGCATAATTGGTAACTTGATGTTCGACCTGCCGTAGATTACATACATTACATGTATGAAAGTACTAATCTGCAAAATAGTGTAATTATAGAATTTCCCAATTAATTATGCAAATTAAGTCCTCATCTGCATCATTTGGATTTAATCATGTACAACTCTCTCTCAGCTACCTACACACCAAAAATGATGAAAATACGTTGTTTCTATCTGGACTTATTGGCTTTTAAAGTTCTCTTCTTCGTAAACTCCGAAGAGAACTAAGTTTCCTGTCTATTCACAAACTGGACAGAAACATGGGTAGGGTAGTCGTGCGCACACCGCTCACTATGAAGTGGCGACGACGAATGAGGATGAGTCGGAGGGTAGGTAGGGGTAGGAAGTGAGGACCAAGAGGAGAGGGTTACGGATGGGGTAACATCCGTCCAATTTGTGAGCCGACAGGAAACGTGATATTTCGCCAGAAAGTGCCCTGCAGTTTTAGAACAAGCTGCTAGGGGGACCAAACTCACACCACTTATTTCTGACAGGAAAAGCTATCTGTCACCAAAAAGTCAAGACCATAGCATGTTCAGGACAAAAGATACAAAAACCGGAAGTTCTGCTGCAGTACCAAGGTCATCCACCAGGAGGCCCATATTTGACCTTGACCTTTGTCTTTCTAAGACTTACCAACATACCAAATATCATCATAATCCATAAAGGCGTTATGAAGTTATGCTGACTACAAATGTGCGGAAACACAAACACACACACAGACAGACAGACAGAAACACACACAGACAGACGCGCAAAAACAATACCTCCATTTTTCATGGAGGTAAATACGTTAAATAGCTATAGTAGAGCAATACAAATAAAGTTTAATGTTTTGCAATCGTATTACCACACAGGTAGATACCGCCCGGGGCGCCCTCACATGGTGGGAGCAGTCCACTACTTCTCTGGTGCTGGTTGCCCCAGCAGCATGGGTGTAATCATCTCCAACTTCCAACAGCTCTTCAGTCAGCTGCCGTCCTCCCAACCAGGTGGATCAATCACAATCGATCTTCAGAACGTCGAGGTCGAATGTGGAGGGACGGCAAGACGAACCCCATCAAGAAACAACCGTATCTTCGCCACTAAATCCAAGAAATCTGCAAATGGCTTCACGGTAAGGTTCGAGGTAGTTGCCAGCAGCTCTCTTGCACCAGAAGATATCACCCTGATTGAGCAATCTAGCCTCGTATATGCTCTAGACGATATCTACTTTGATGTCGAAGATAAGGTTGCAAACCAGCAATTCGACTTGAACATCAACGGACAACAGGCCTCGGCCGACACATTTGACATCGGGTTTGCGGAGTTCGACCTCAACTGCACCCAGGGGCAACTGAGTTTTCAAGACAGCTTCGAAGCGTATTGTCGTGAGTTAAAAACATTTGACAGTGTTGATAACTGTAATTATTTTTACTTACGTGGTTTATATCTCATCATCATTATCCTGTGTATTCTGCATCTCCAGTCGTTGGAATGCCCTGCAGCTGCTGGTTTATGTCAATGTTTATCTATTTGAAGACCAGATGATGTAATACTATATGATTGTCTATATGAGTGTTTATGAAAAAAAATTAGTGCCTTAACATTTGTGAATGAACGATAAAAAGGAACATCATGCTGCAACATGTATAAGGAAACATAATATTAGCTAAATTTCAGTTGACTGTCCCCCCGGCACGTTCCATGACCTGACTACGGACACCTGTGAGTACTGCCCTGTTGGTGAGTACCAGGACCAGCCGGTACACACGGACTGTAAACAATGTCCTCACAACACCTGGTCCGTGTTTCCTGGAGCAAAGGAGGAGGCTCAATGCATGTCAGGTAAGAATCATCGTTTTTCCCAAGGCAACATGGAAGACCTTCATTGTATATCTATTCACATACAAAGTAATTACAGATAATATAACATTTCCAGGCACAAATGATTACTAATTTGAAATGATATAGGAGGGTGTTGCATCTTACTATAGTGTACTATCTTACTACAGCTATGGTATACTATTATGTACAGGGTCTGGTGATGACTATTTCTTGTATAGTTTTGAATTATTTAATACCAGTAACGCTTTGATTTTTCTTTGTGGTTGCTTACCTTTAAATCGTCTGGTGATAGTTTCAACACTAACACAAGGTTTTAAAATTCATTTAGTCTGTCTAGGCAAAGACGATCTGTGCTCCAGTTGCCTCCAAGTAAAAGGTCAATTGACGTGCGAGGTAAGAATAATATATTATGACGTCCTTCTTGGTAGTCATTATCTAGCTAAAAGAAAAGGGAGGCGGAATGGCTTGTTTTTGCCGGTGTATTGTAAATGACCGCGGACGATCCCCGAATGAAACGCGGGTTCGATTCGAATTGCCCAGATCGAACACGATCGAACACTGTTCGGGTTCTAGGAAAGGTGGGAACTTTGCAGCCGGCTAGCCCAGATTTGACCACCGCGTAGCTTTTCCAGCGATCAACGTTTGTGGCGTCGGTGGCACAACGGCTAGAGCGTTAAATTTGGAGCCAATATTTCGATATCATCATGTACCGACGCTGTGCCCTTGAGAAAGACACTTTACACCACCTTCCCTTCCCTGGCAGTGAAATAATGCCCACCGAGCTTCATTGGCTAATCTGTTTAAATGTATGCCCAAAACACACTTTGGCTGTAGTACGGCAATGTACCAACATGGGGACATTTGCCACCATGAGCCGTAAGCGATCAAAGGAAATTTAGAACAAAAATATGGATTTAGAATACTAAACTTTTATGTTAACTGTTTACTAGTATTATCATTAGCTAATGCTAGTAGCAAAACATAAAGATACTATGTTTTTGGACACATCACATCGAACACTTGCTGAAGTCAATAGGGTTGAAAGTTAAATGTAGGGTGCTACAACTTTGATACCGACTACCAAACATGGATTTGAAGTAATTGAACATATTTTACTGCAGTGTGAAGTTGGCTGGGCCGGATCCCAAGACGGACTGACCTGTGGACTTGACGGTGACCAGGATGGTTATCCAGATGTGCCTCTGCCCTGTAACGACACCAGGTGTAACAAGGTAAACATATACATTGCAAGTAGAAACCGCAATAAGTGCCTTTTGTTTGATTGATAGCGCATTGGGATATCTTTAAGATAAGAGAAGATAGCAGCACTACTAGCTAAAGGAGTTATGGTATAATGAGGGTGTTTATTTTATCTAAAAAATTTGGACTTTGTCTTACTTTACCATACGGAGTTTCTTACTATTTAGCCATTTGTTGATTTATATTCTTCCAGTTAACTGGCTTTCAACTGGTTACCGTTGGATGTTTGCCTTTATATTGTACTAAATCTTAGGACAACTGCCCGGGTATCCCTAACAGTGGACAAGAAAACACAGATGGAGACGACATGGGAGATGCATGTGATGACGACATGGACAACGATGGATTCTTCAATAATGTTGTAGCTATAAGTATCATTGATATTATCATTTCATTACCCCTAATTCATGGGAAAAGCTCATTTTACAAGGAAAATGCCTTCCAAACACGTGTCCATTAGACATCTGCATCAAGCTACATCTAACTTGATCTCACGGCATAAAAAGCATAAATGTGTGTTTCCCCGAAATAGAGTAGAATTTCACCACTAAGTGTATATAAAATATGGGCATTTCAGTGTATAGACTAATATGGAGCGATAATGAATCTGGAGTAAAGTGACTTCTACATGCCACTCTATTTGGCTATGAGTTATTTCCCTTCCCAGACATCATTTTCATTAGATACCATGTTTATAACGTAATGTCATGTAGTCGGCATGATAGCATAAACTTGTTCGTTTGATTTTCTTCCCTCGAAAGGACAATTGCCCACTGCTGATGAACGGTGACCAGACGGACAGTGACGGTGATGGAGTGGGTGACGTGTGTGACAACTGTCCCACGGACATCAACACTGACCAACGGGACACAGACGGGGACGGTGTGGGGGATGTGTGTGACAGTGATGCCGATAGTGACGGTGAGTTTGATTCCCGCAAAATATCTGTAAGCTTACGTATACGATTTAAACCTATCCATTACCCTACTTAATATTATCCTTCGATTTCAAAAGAAACCTATTAAGTAATGGTGTTAAACATCACTATTACTATTACTGTTCCAATCACTCCGCTCTTCCCTCTTGGCCATACGGTCGCTATTTCATTTAATCACCCGTTCCCAGAGGAAAATAATATCTTACTATGTGGGTAGTTAATGGAATCAATTGTAACATGCTTTTATGTTGAAAAGGGGTTATTTACAGCTCCTGACCAATATAGATAATCAATGTTTCCAGGGCTTTTGGACGATAGAGACAACTGCCCGTTCGTGGCTAATGTCCAACAGGAAGATTCCGACGGAGACGGGATCGGAGATGTTTGCGATAATTGCCCATTTGTCGCAAACGTAGATCAGGTTAGTCAGGAATAGGAATTCCCATACTACGTGAAATGCCGACAGGGATGGGTGAAGTGTTAAAAGCCTTTCAAAGTTCGGATATAAATGCACTGCGAGCGTCTGAATGTACGAAGGTGATAATTAGTTTGTACATCTTTGTAGGTGACATCAATATAATATTACCTTCTTCCATTTCTAGTTTGACCTGGATCAAAATTATATCGGCGATGTTTGCACTGACAACGTTGACAGGTAATGGTATCATTATGTTTTAATGTTTTTATTTGCATTGTAAGAAAAGAGTAAATTACCTTAAAATCATTTATAAAAATTATGAACTTAGTTACCATCTATGGTAAAAGTAAAAAAAGGTCTATGGTAACAGTAAAACTATCAAGAATAAGATGATTCCTATGAATGATCTATTTAAATAGCGATGCAGACGGGATCCCGAACTCCTCGGACAACTGCCCTGACATCCCCAACAGTCAACAACTGGATACGGACAAGGACGGAGCAGGTACAAACAAAACCTATGCTAATCTGCTGTACTTACAGGCCTCCGGGCTCATGAATACAAACCTTCAACAACATCATAGCTTCGATCGACAGGGCAACGGATTCAAAACAATGAGCTGTTCATCCTATGAGATTTCAATATTGATTGGTCTAACCATTTATGTCCCTTGAGAGAGAGGCTGGCTCAAGCAGCAGTAGGGTGTAACCTTCTCCAGACTGTGAAAAGTCCAACGATGATTGGTAATAACAGAAGTCAAAGGACAGAAACTCACTTCGATCTGGGATTCTCTGACCACAACATTGTGTACACAACAAGGAAAACAACGGTTCTAAAGGCACAACCTCGAGTAGTAGTGAGGAGAGCGTATGGGAAATTCAACCCTCAAGATTTCCAACGCGACATTGAGCTGGCATTTGATTTTGGCATTTCATGTTCTCACAACCATACTAAATGATGTCGCCGACAGCCACCCACCAGTAACGAAGCGAACAGTAAGATCTAACCCAGCACCCTGGCTTGATAACGAGTTGAGGGAATTGATGCATCTCAGGGATGAAGTGAGAAGAGAATCCATCTCCTCTCGCCTGGAATCAGATGTGCTTGTTTACAAAAAAAATCAGAAATGCTGCTGTAAAACTTAAGCGGAAAAAGAAAGCTGCCTTTTTACAAAACCAAACTACAAGAGGCCAAGCATGACCCCAAGGCCCTGTGGAAAACGCTGAATGGTATGCTAAGTAAAAAAACCGAAATCAGCCACCTTGTGTAGTAGAACAGTATGGTGTATACCTGACCAGAGCAGAAGACGTAGCGGAGTACTTTAATCACTTCTTCACTCAAAAAGTACTCTCTGCTTAATGGGCTAAACTCAGGGATGGGTGATAACCTACTTACCTTGATAAAGAGGGGGATCATGGAAAACAAAGACTGCAAGTTTGAGTTCAGTCCGGTGAATGTTGAGGAAGTGCACTCACTCCTGTCGTCTCTCATCATCATCATCGGTCAAAGCTGTGGGCTTGGATAACCTAGACAACACACTACTTAAATTGGCTGCCAATCATATGGCACAACCTTTATAGTATATCATAAACCTGTCTTTCACTAGTGTGTTTATGGGAAGTGGAAGAAAGCCAAGGTGATTCCCAAGGTGTGCGATGGTACAAATATTTCTGATTCACTACATATCACCCGGACGGAGGCCTGGCGAACCCCCGTCTTGTATTGCACAAGCATAGCTAATAGAAAAAGCATGACACAATGCTTCACCTCTGACGAGAATGACTAACAGTAACACACATAGTAACGGCGGTGCTGCAGTCGAATGGGTGGAGAGCTACCACTCAAAACGCTTGCAGTTTGTACGCTACAAATTTTTCATTCAGGGATATCACATGTGGAGTACCTCAAGGAAGCTGTCTTGGACCCCTTCTTTTCAGATATTCACAGATGATCTTCCTCTAGCTACAAAGGAGGCTGCCTCAGTTATGTATGCTGATAATACTTGTTTCTCAATGCATCCAAAACAAAATCAATGGTAGTTGGAAGTAACCCAAAAATTAGAAAAAACAGTACTCACCTTATATTCAAACGGTCATGTCATCCAGCAAGTCAAAGAAACAAAACTCCTAGGCAGTACTCTTGATGAGTGCCTCACTTGGGAGTGGATAATCATACAAAAGTGACCGCGAAGAAGATGGCCTGTGCATTGGGAATGATAAGAAAATGTGCCACTTACCTGGACTCTTCATTACTTAAGCTGCTAGTAAAATGGCTTACATTGTCACACGTTGACTACTGTTCTCCAGTTTTGTCCTCCACTTCACAGAAGAATATTCAACTACTACAAGTCATGCAAAACAAAGCAGCTCGTCTGGTTCTACATTGTGACTTTAAAACCCCAAAACAACATCTCCATCATGGCCATGCGTCTCTGTCGTGGCAGACTGTCAAAGAAAGGATTCTTGTAAACACCGCCTCCCAGCTACAGAGGACCATTGCCGCACACCAACAAGAAGTTTCTACAAACAGTTGTGTCCTTTATCCCACCACCACAACTACAACACACGCCACGCCAGCAGGAACAACCAGAAGTTCTCTACATACAGTTGTATCCTTTATCCTACCACCAAAGCCACGCCAGCAGAAACACATACAGCTTGACGAAACCCAAAATGAACGCCCTGAAGAAGACTTTCATATACAGATCTTTAACAGTTTGGAATAGTTTGCCACATGAGGTACAAGCAGCAACTAAGAGTTTAGGCAATAGTTGATAGGGCAAATGCGTAGATAGTTGACCGTTACATGCGATGTTAAGTTTAAATGTTAAGTTATATGTTGTATGTAATAATGTTGCAATTTTGATGAAGTGTATTTGTATGGTGTACTATTTTTAAGTACTTTAACTCCAGGAAGATTAGCTGCATACTTGATTTTGTAGCACTGTCTTGTATGTCGCTAAAGAGGTTTAATAAAGCACCTAAGTCGTATGAAGACATTACCCAACTTGCATTTAAATTAAAGCGCACATGCAATCAGCATAGATGGTAGTAAAACATAATTGTTTTAGAGGCTCAACATTAATATAAATTACATTAATAGTGAGAAGGATATGAATATACTCTAAATAAAACCAAAATCAACAAGAATAGCAGCATAGTAATAAGTTTTATTGAGCGCACTCAATGCCCGTTTTTAACCATTTTGAACTGGATAGTCCTCCTCTCCGCAGCAACTACTTATCTATTATAACATCAATATGCTCTTTACTTACCTATCGGTTACAGGAGATCTTTGTGACGATGATGACGATGACGACACAATACTGGATGACGTGGACAACTGTCGTCTCGTTCCTAATCTGGACAATACAGACTTTGACGGTAGGATGACTTTACCGTCTTCAATCGTCGCTGAATGTGCATGAATATAAACAAGTCAGCCACTCTAAACAATACCTCCGGTCCCGGCAGTTCAATGTCATACACTGTTGTAAAAGTCGCCACCACTGTATCAGAAGGTTGTCTATCTGACACGGTTTGGTAGTTCCTGGGTTTTTACTGGGTTTTATTACATTCGACGTTTCCCATCTGCCACCTTCTTTAGGGCAACAATGACTGGTCTCTTCCCAACCTGATGAAATTACCAAATTCCCCACCATGGTTCAAAGTACTGAAAACAGTCTTACAATGTCTTTTATCAGGAGATGGAGTAGGCGATGTCTGTACCGGTGATTTTGACATGGACGGCGTGCCTGACGCTGATGACGTGTGTCCTGAGAGTGGGGTCATCGCCCGTACGGACTTCAGGAACTACCAAACCGTCAACCTGGCCGGTCCTGACAGCCTATCACCCGATCCGGTTTGGGAGTTCCTTAATGAGGTATCGACAAGATTCGAAAAAAAATCCGAAGGGTTTGGCCTAGGTTTTTGTTAGTGGAGCACTGATTAATACATTACTTAATCAAGTAGATAAGATGAACACCAAAGATCTTGAATAGACGTTAGCAATATTGTACGTGGCACGAACGGAGTTGACATTAGATAATGATCTAATGTAATAGTTTCAAGTTGTAAAGTTTCAAGTTTCTAGTGTAAAGTTTCAAGTTTCTAGTGTAACGTTTCAAGTTACTTCATAAAAGCTCTAAATATGTCTAGTCTGAAGGTAATAAATATAAGGTCTCATTAATGTATTACTCCGAGTATACTCTCTAAGCTAGCACCAACATGACATAATACAGTCAACTTTGCCCTCTACCCCATTGATTTTTTAATGCTCTAAAATATTTGATACATGTTACAGGGAGCGGAAATAGTGCAGCAAGTGAATAGTGACCCAGGTCTTGTTCTAGGTAGGTATTACATGATAATAGAACTGATACAAATGATTAACACATGGCCACATCTTGATAATGTACTATTAATGTGTGTGTTGATAAGTAGAAAACACATAATTGAAGTCAAATTACGATACAAAGTTACCTCGAAAGCACCCCCAACAGACACACATTACCCCCTTCCCCCGTTGACCAAGGATGACCCCAAAACCCCTGTCTGAATAGAATGTAAGCCTACGCTAAACGTAATATAAATGCGGTCATAATACAAATTTTGGACAAAAGAAATTGACGGCAATTTTTTTGGTCTCAGGTTCTGACTACTTCGGCAACTTGGACTACCGTGGAACCTTCTTTGTGAACACCCAGGTTGATGACGACTTTGTGGGTTTCGTCTTCAGCTATCAGAGCAACTCTCGGTTCTACCTGATGTCCTGGAAACAGGCAGGGGACAGCAGCGGTGGAGAAGCAGGGGTACAGCTGAAGGTGGGGATTTGTTTATGTATCAACTGCTATTTCGTTCCGTGGAA